TATACCTTAAGTGTTTAATGTATGCGTGTTGGGATGTGACAGCTCTCCAGATTCTGGTGACCTCCTTTAGGAACATGAATACCAAACAGAGCTGAGCCAGTGGAAGCAGAAAATGTTGATGTTAACAGAAGTGAGGTGATGTTTGCATTATCATGAAATCATGTTTTTTCCATTTTCTGGCTGCGAGGATGTTGAAGACTGGCTGCTGCTGCTTCAGAGCAGCCTTCTGTCCGGTGTAGCATCTTCTCTTCATGCTGGCCGTAAGCTAATGGCTGAGGATCAAGGCAAAGAGTATTACTCTTTTCTCCTAATACCTCCAGCCTTCTAAGTATTTCCAACTTGGAGGATTTTGCTCTGCTTCCTCTGGGATGTCTGCGTTGCTCCTCCACTGTATTACCAGTTTTCTCCAAAGTTAAAAGGTTCTATACTTTTTTTTTTTTTTTTAACTTCTGTGAAGTAGCATCTTTTGCATTGATGAGTTTATCCTTTAAAATTGGTCAACAGGAGGTCTGTGGAATCCCCATCTCAGTTTTTGCAGACAACTATTATAACTTGCTACTCAAGCTGATTTGAACAAGTAGAAATGTAGGTTGAACCCTTGAGTTTTTGCTTTCTGTGGGGTTCTGATCTATTTGCTTTGCAGGGAGCCAATAGGCGGGTAGAGGATGTCAGTTTCTAAGAAGTTCTCCAGTGCAATCCCGCATTTGCTTGTGAGCTGTAACCCTCCAGTCTCTGCAAAAAACAAACCCAGAAAAAAAGGTGAAGTATCAGAATTTAATGTGACATCCTCAACTATTCCAAAATAGCACAGGATAATCTAGCTTAAAGAACATTATGAATTACTTGTTAGACTGAGATCAGGCGCAGTCACACAAAAAATGGATAAAGCCAAGGCACAAATATGCCTTTGGCAGCAACATGTGTCGGATAAAGTTTGACATAACCCAAAAATACCTACTAGCTTCAGGGGTGTGGATGTCAAAAGAAAAAGAGATCAGCTACATAAATATTGGTGTTCTCTAATAACGTGTTAGAGTGACAAATGTGGAGAAAGGGTGGATTGTCACTGAATTTCCCTAAAAGCAAGATCTTACTGCCTCTCTAATACTTTTGAAAAGAATTTTAGTTTCAGCCCTGGAATGAAGCACCATATGGTGATCACGTTTTCAATCATGCTAAGAGCATGGGAAACTCAAGTAGGGAAGCTCATTTGGTAGAAATCCATTCCTGAGAATGGGAATTGTTCAAAATTGTTGCTCCCATAGAAGTGCCTAGTGAAGGAAGATGAGAAGGAGCAGTACTAATGTAACCAGGAAGGCCACAGATGAGGAAACTGGTAGTTTGGCTACTGCAGTGTCATGTCTCAGTGGTCAGATCTTCTTTACATGTGGGCCCAAATTAATTGTTTGTCTATAGTTATTTGAGTATGTGTTTGATCTCAACATAGTTAACAGTTTCTGAGCGATTACCTAGAACATAGCAGTTGAGCTTTTACAGTGTTAAAACAGATGCTGTTTTCCCCTGGTTGTGTTCTCAGCAGAGGAAGCTCGGCAGATTTGTGTTTGGAATTTTATCTGTAAGCAGTCTACAATTCAAGTTTAAGATTCTGGAAATAAGGGGGGGCTTTGCTGTGTACTTGCAGCTCTGAGAAAAGAAGCAAGGTGAGATAAATCTGTTTGGGGAAGGATAAAACACAAAAAGGTTTTATGACTTACGGTTTTAGGGATCATCTTGTTTGTGCAGGTTAAGTTTCAGAGCAGTGGTTGCCTGACACATAGTAGCATTCTGTTAAATGCTTTGTTATAAGACAACAGTAATGTTATGGAAGTGATGCTAAGTTTCTGTACCGCATTCCCGTTGGGAGACATTTATTTTCAGCTCGGATACTGAAGCTGAAGCATTACTATCATCAGCTCATTCTACTTCAGTTTTAAATTGCCTAATTGTCTTGTGAAAGTTTGCCTGGAATGACAATGGGAGTGGTATCAGGTAACTGTTTTCTGGATGGCATTCTAAGCTTTGGTCTTTATTTAGAGCTCTTTACTGGTCTCCAGTCTGGTTAAGAATAGATGGATCATACAGGCCTTCTCATAAATACTTTTAAGACGCAACTATTCTTTTTTTTTTGTTTGGTGACAGTGTTTCACTTTGTGTATTTTGTATTCCTCTGTCTCTTATGTCCTTGACTGGCTTTTCTGCTCATTTTTTCCTCTAAGCTCATAGCATCACAGCATAAATATATTAACAGATACTGAAATATATATGCATCTAGTCTATGTGTCAAGAAGACTCACATAAATAAGGATTTGCTCGATGAAGCCTTTGGTAGATGACCTAATTTTCCATTTTAATCAGATTACAAAAGGAGATTTAAATAACTGTTTCACACTTTAGAAGGGTTAATATGTGCAGAGATTTCAGACCAAATCCTCAGCTGGTATGAACTGACTTTGGGAAGTTGTGAACTGACAGCAGAGTCATGTGATTTGAAGCAGAGGAGATCTCAGCTCTGGACTCCCAACATACAAGTGAAGAAGTAAAACTAAGAGACAAACTTTGCCAAGAGCTATACACCACATGAAGAGCTAAGAAGTGGTAAAACAGGAAATTATAAAAGAGCCACAGTTGAAGAGAATCCAGAACGGAGCTTGGATGAAGTGGGCTGGTGGGCACAGCTGGGAAGGTGGACTTGAGCATCAAGTCTGAGCCCAAGGTAACAGAGCAGTGGACTTGAAACCCATGAATTTAGAAATGGCTAGTGCCAAAGAAAGCACCTACTTCAGTCCCTCCAAAAACATGGCTTCACAGAAACCATGCTCTATAGAAAATAATAGAGAGAAGAGATAAGAAGTGCTGGGAGCTATTGCCTATGCTAATGGCTGTAATAGTGAGGGAGCTTCTGTGGCTCCTCCCAAAAGTGCTGCTGCTGGGAAGGAAGCTGATTTGATGGGAGGGACCCTGTCGTATATAGTTAATTGAATAAGCTGTTCATCTTCTAAGTGCTCATCTGAGCTAAGCTTAGCGACTCTCCAGAGATACACCCATCACTAGCTATGAAAATCCTTATGCAGCAGAGCGTGCAGAACCTGCGATTACCTCTTT